CCTCCTGCTGCTGCTGCTGCCGGTGACTCAGTGCGCAGAGGCGCAGCCTCCCCACGCTCCGGCCCCGCTGCCACCCCCGCGGCCTTCGCGCCTCCCTCCTCGCGGCGCGGGCGGCCCGGGAACGGGCTCCGGAGCCCGCAGCGCCCTGCAACGCCGGAGGGTGGCACCTGGGGATGCCCTAGTGCTGGTCACCTGCGGAGCAGCACCTGGAGCCCCGCTCCATGAGGTGACCTGAGGTGGCTTGTTCCGAGTGCCCCAAGGTGGCCCGCACGGCTCCAAGCATGAGGACCCCCCGCCACGTGTGCTCTGAACCTGTCCAAGTGGGGACACCCCGCATCAAGCGTGGTCTGAACATCTCCAACCGCGGAGACTCCGCGCCAGACACGTCCTGAACGTCTCCAAGCATGGAGTCCCTGCACCACATACAGCCTGAACCTCTCCAAGCGTGGAAACCCCACATCATACAGAATCCCAGAACGGCTGAGGTTGGCAGGGACCTCTAGGGATCATCCAGTCCAGCCCCTGCTCCAGCAGGGACACGCAGAGCAGGGGCACAGGGCGGCATCCAGGCGGGTTGGAACGAGGAAGGGGCCCCCCCCAGCCTCTCTGGGCAGTCTGTTCCACATGATGTGTGGTCTGAACCTCTCCAAGCGCAGAGACCCCCCACCAGCCATGCCCCGAATGTCTCCAAGCATGGAGACCCTGCACCACACGGGGTCCGAACCTCTCCAAGCACAGAGACCCCCCACCAGCCATGCCCTGAATGTCTCCAAGCATGGAGACCCTACACCACACGGGGTCCGAACCTCTCCAAGCGCAGAGACCCCACAGCAGACACATCCCGGACCTCTCCACGCGTGCAAGCTCCACAACCCCTCCGAGCAAGCTCCTCGCCCGCGTGCCCCGAGCCCAGGCGGCCCCCGTGCACGGGCCGACAGCTCCATCTCACCTTGTGCAGCTTCCACATGGCGCCCAGCGCCTTGACCTCGTGGCTCGAGTGCTTGCCCTCCTCGAGGCACTGGTAGCACACGGGGCTCTTGCACTGCACGCAGTACATGCTGTGGTTCTCCAGCTCGTGGTCCGTGCACGTGGAGATCTTGCGGGGGCTCAGGCGGCGGCTCACGCGGCCCTGGGCCGGCGGCACCAGGCGGTGCTTGGCCAGCGGCCCGCGGGGCGGGTGGCAGCGCAGGCGGCAGGGCTCGCAGTAGAAGACGTCGCACTGCTCGCACATGACGGCCGCCTCCCTTGGCGCCCTCTCGCAGAGC